CAATTTAAACATTGTTATGTTATCAGCATTATTCTCATACTGAATTCAAAGTGCACTGTACCAGCTGCTGAAAAGAAAGTTAACTCTATCCCAGTAGAAACCAAGACAATATCTCAAGTTCAGCTTTCAGCTCCAAAACTGCAGAAGTGCATCTAATGTCTTTCAGATGACTTCTCACTTCACCTGTTCTCTTTCTTGTTTTATTTAGTTCATTTCTTCAGCTGTGGAGTTGGCCTTGTCCCCAAGTCACGGTGCTTAAATAATAATAAATGCTCAAATCCATTTTTTTTCCTATGCTTTCTGGAGTTTGTGCCACCAGTATGCTTGCAGTTTAAGCTGTTGGGATCTTGTTTTGGTGAATTTTTCTTTTGTCTGAGAAGCTCCTAAAAACATAGTGCTGCTACTTTCTTGGTAGCTCTTTCTGATCTATTCTGGTATCGGAAGGGTTAGAATATAATACTGTTTTGTCTTCATCGTTTTTTGTTCAGCTGAAACATTGGATTAATTCTTTACGAGTCTGAAATCTCAGTGGGAAAATACCTGTAATTGGCATCCTTTTTTGAAGCAACCGTATTGTTTTATGTAAGGAAAACTACTGGCAGCTTTGAACATCCTTTCCTTAGAGTGGTTTTTAGTTTTAGTGGCATTCCCACAAAATTACCGTAGCTTAATAATTTAGGGTCTGAGAAGAGCTGTGTTCTCCAGTTTGTAGTACCTTTCTGCATGTAGATTGAGTGACTGTTAGGCTAACTGTGTGGCTAAGTTCTCCCGTCAGTGGCCTTGCTGCTCCTCTTGTAAAGATGCATCCTACTTTCAGACTACATGTGAAGGAAAGTTTCCCAAATTCTTGACCAAGTGGATTTTTATCAGGCACCTCTCCCAATACTAGGATTATGTTAGTCTTTATCATCAATCTGCTAGGATAATAGTCTTCCTTGGGGTAGTATATTTATAGTGCCTACAGATAATAATTTAAGACCAAAATACTAGTTAATAAAACCTCCCTAGTTCTGAAAATCTGTTGCTCCCAAGTTTTTTGCATTGTAATAGGAGAACTGATCTGATAAAATTCAGTTGAAGTAAACCTTATGAGGTCTTGAGCCAGAGCCTGGGAAGGCAAATAAATGACCAAGGTGATGGAGAGGGGTACACAGAACCATGGAATGGGTTGAGTTGAAAGGGGTGGTGTAAAGATTATCTAGTTCCAACCCCCCAGTTCCTGTGCCTCATAACTCAGACTTGAAAATTTCTACCCAACATCTAATCTAATTCTCTCCTCTTGTATTTGAAAAACATTTCTCCTTGTCCTGTCACTGTCTGCCCATGTATTTATCCCTCTGTTTTATAAGCCCTCTAAAGACTGGAAGGCTTCAATGAGGTCTTCCCAGAGCCTTCTCTTCATGCTGAACAAGCCCAACTCTCAGCCTGTCTTCATTGGAGAGGTGCTTCAGTCCTTGATCATTTTTGTGGCCCTCCTCTGAACTTGCTCCAACAGATTCACATCTTTCCTGTGCTGAGGACCCCAGAGCTGGATGCAGCACTCCAGGTGGGGTCTAATGAGAGCAGACTACTACATGGACAGAATCCCCTCCCTCGACCTGCTGGCCACTCCTGTTATGATGCAGACCAGGATGCAGTTTAACCTTCTGGGCTGCCAGCACATGTGCAGCTTTTCATCCACAAGAACCTGCAAGTCCTTCTCTGCAGGACTTCTGTCAGTGAGACACACTCTGTCTGTGATTGGCACAATCCAGGTGCCAATCCTTGCACTTGGACTTGTTGAACTTCATGAGGTTCTCGTGGGCTCAGTTCTCAAGGTTATCCAGGTCTCCCTGAATGGCATCCTGTCCTTCTGTTGTGTCAACTGCACTGCTCAGCTCTATGTCATCTTCAGATGTGCCAAAGGAGCACTTGGTCCCACTGTCTGTATCATTGGCACTGGTCCCAAGACAGAGCCCTGAGGGACACCATTCATCACTAGCCTCTGCCTGACACAGAGGCATTGACCACACTGCTTTTGCCTCATCCATTCAGTCAATCCCTTATCCACCACACAGTCTATCCTTCAAATCCCCGTTTGTCAAGTTTGGAGATAAGTGCATGTGTGCCAACAGAAGCTCTGGTAAAGTGAAAGAAACTGTTTTTGCCGTGAGGAGTTTGCTTCATCTGAACACAGTTACTGAGGAAGCAGGTCTACAGGTACCAGTAACCACTTTTTTCCAGCTTTCAGTATTTTGCAGCTACCCCTTCCATGGTGGTGATACAGAAATCATTTAGAGCAATTTGATTAACACTGTGATTTCTGGCATGAAATTAGTTTAATGTATTGAGGACTGGAATTGTACCTCACCAGTTGGATTTGGCATCTATGTTAAAGAAACCTTTTGTGAAAAGCAATTGTAACAACAGTGGTTTAGTTTAAATGAGCTCCTGATGTCATGGCAAAACAACTACAGTTTTCAGTATTTTTCATCTAAGCTACAGATTGATATAAAAGGAGTTCCGTTCTGAGCTTCAAGTAAGGGTAGGGTAGGCAGCTTTGCTTCTGTCCTGGCCATTACTCAAAAGCACATTTATGAAGATTTTACACTATAATCATCAGAGTTAAATCTGCATGTGTAAATGAACAGGAGAATCTTTTATTTATGGAGAGTAATAACTAGAAATTTTAATTTCGACTTTTGGGGCGATGTCCCCTCTTGTCTTGGGACCTTGTAGTGGCCATTACTGCATGTTGTGTATTGCGTTTCCTTCTTGAAAGATGTTTGAGTTCTGGGGGAAGGATTCTGTTCAGCAGCCTGTGCCACTGCAGTTTTATAATCGCTCTCATCACTTTACAATTTGTAGTCTGCCAGTTATCACAGTTTGCTGATGCAAAGAAGAAAGTATACCTGTAGTAGTTGGTAACGTTTTCCCCTAGATGGATTTGTTCTCAGTGTCTTTGCTTTGTGGTAGAATGAAAAAGCTACCAGTATGTAGCTTTGACTTGGTAATTCCTAGGAAGTAGTTGTTTTCGTTTTTGCTTCCTTGTTGGCATGTTGGAGAGTGTTCCTGTTCTCATTTTTATCTTAGCATATGTTGAGTGACTTTGTCACTGTTTATTTGACCCTTCTGCATTTTCTTTTGCATATGATTGAAATAGCATGCATACTCCCAGGCCTGAAATTTTTAAGTTGATTTGGATGCAAATGAGGCTTCCCCCTAGCTAACTACACACTCAATTGCAAAGTGTATGAGTGTTTCTGGTTCTTCCTTTTTATCTGTCATGGCTTACAATTAGCATTTCATTTTTAAACAAACTAGCAATAGCAAATCTAAAAGGATTTGACCATGCTTTTTGGAAGGTGTTTAGTCTTTTTATCATTAGGCTGATGGCTGTTAGCCAAGGTACGTAGTATCCAACAGGTACACTCTCTGATATTGCTGGTTGTTAACCCGGTTTTTGGTCACAGGCTGTCCAGTAGATAAACTGATGCTGAATGCTGCTTTTCTTGGGATTTAAATACAAGTTCAGGGGATCATATTTGTTCATCTAGAAAATGCTAATGAAGACAAAAAAGTTGTTTTCTCTGGGGGAAGAACTCAGCAGAAGTAACAATAAGAGTAATGACTGTAGTACAAGTACTGTGATATTTTTCTTATCGTTTGTACTTGGCATAATAGCAGGAACACTGAACTTCCCAAATTCTTTATAAAAAAGATCCATGTGGTGTGACAAAAAATCAAGGCTGGAAATAGCCTTGGTTGTTCATCAGGACCGTTGCTATAAAGTCTAAGTAAAGTGTGAGAAAATGTTAGCCACCACTTGTTCTACTGCATGAAATTTTTAGTGATGAGCACTGAAGGTTCCTGTTTACTTCTAAGAGCTTGTCACTTTTAAATCTTGTTCTGATTATGAAGTTGTCTTGTCTGGGACCTTTCTTATTGTACAGTGAATTGTGAAACTTTCCTTCTATTAGCAATAATAGTGAGCTGATTTTCAGAATACCTGTGAATGGTAATGCAAACACACTGCTGAAAAAAAAAGTACTGATCCAAAAGAATCTCAACTAACAAACCATATTTGTCTGTATAAAGTTAATTACAAATAAGTCCTTAAGGCTTATGTGGTCCATTTATTCTGGAATGCATTTTGTAGTTTATTCTGTTCCAAAACAGTAGATGTTATCAAATAGCTGGGAGTGGTTAGCAAACTTGTACCAGGAGCAGGTATTAAAGTTGTGTACAAATGCACCTTTCTCAGCTTTCCTTGGTTCCAGTTTGGATACAAAGAGGATATCAATAAAAAAAAAAATCTGGGAAAAAATTACTTTTTTAAATGGAATAAATTCAAAGAAGGATACATTATCATTCTTCAGAGAACTTCAGTAAAGTTTGACTCAAGTTTGTTTAAAGATGTTCATAAAAGATGAAATGGAGAAATTACTCACTTTGACTATACCTGCTTTAACAATAAAACTCAAAAAAGAAAAAAATACAGATACTCAGTCAAATCTGCACTTTGTTATTTAAATGAGGGCTCTTTTGAAATGTGTGGTTTGTAGCTGTGTTCTGGATCTGTCACAGAATTAGTGGCTTGCTAGCTGCTGTCTTGATGAACTGTTTTTAGATACATGACTTCACAAGAGTAGTGGCAGAGTAACACTATTGTGGTAGTAACATACTACTGAATTTCATTTGTTTCTAAAATATGGTTCCATTAGTTATATTTTCTACAATATTTTCTCTATGTTTTCTTTGTTCAGCAACTTTAACTGTGACAATATTGTTACTGTTTTGTATTAAATGCTACTTGATCAGATGATTTATTTAAATATTAAATGTGTACATGGAATTTCTGGAAGGAATTTTCAGGCCTGTATAGGTGTAATGAGTAAGTGCTATGTATTTTCTAGCTGTTGGAAGTGTTGGGGAAAATCTGGTTGTCTTGAGTAGAGCCAGAAGGGGTGAATAAAATACCCTAAAGATCTCTGTTTCTGATTCATATTTTTGTAGACTGCTCTGTGTAAGTACTTTAGACAACAAATATCAGGGTCTTGGTGGATGAATTAAATCTTTAATATGTGTATGCTATTGAATGACTAGAGAAGTCAAGAAAAGCAAATTTAATCTTGATTTCCTTTGCTTGCTTTAATAGTTGTTACTCAACCAAGCCCGTCAGTTTCCCAGCCAGGTACTTCAGAGAGTGAAGAGAGAGCTGCTGAACTGCCGAAACCAAAGAAGAACAGATGTTTCATGTGCAGGAAGAAGGTTGGCCTTACAGGTATGAGAACACTGTCAGTTTTGGACAAATCTGGGTGATTAAACTTGGTAAATTATGTGTTCTATTAAATTTATTTGCAGCTATTCATTTTTCTTGCTCCGTATGTCAATGTAGATAAACATACCCCCCCCCCCCGTGGTAACTATGCTCTCAGTTGACAACTTTAACCTAATTAAAAATGAATCTTCCTAGTGATGTTGCTTCTTTTTCTGTGTACAGGATTTGACTGCCGATGTGGAAACTTATTTTGTGGACTTCACCGTTATTCTGACAAGCATAACTGCCCATATGACTACAAAGCAGAAGCTGCAGCAAAAATCAGAAAAGAAAATCCAGTTGTCGTGGCTGAAAAAATTCAGAGAATATAAATTAACCTGCTTGTGAAAAGACTGACTGACTTTTTGTGGGGCTTTTTTTTTCAATACTTCCTAAAAAATATGAAAGAGCAGGTGCATGACCATTTTCCTTTGTTCTACAAAATTTTACTTCTAGTCCTGTCTGACTAAATGATATTTCAAAATGTTTGGGTGTTTGTTACAGGCGGATTTGGATAGATACAGCCCTTGAAAATATACATGCCCTTCCCAGAATATAGTTGGATCAGAAAGCTGCACAGGAATACATATGCACAGAGGACAGACTCTAGTTCACGTGTGCCAAACAGATGTGTGCTGTCTGCATGTGTGCGGCAAATCTGCCTTTTGAGATGTGCTTGAGGTATTTAATGTTTGGCTAATGTTACTGGCCTGTTTTGGAGAAGGATACATCGAAACGGTGGCAGTCTACTTCTATAATTTAGAAATCTCATTCTACTTTTAGTTTCCACACTCCATTTTAGTTTTCCAGCAGAAAGTGAGCTGTATAGAGGGTTCCACCATCCCAGAAAGATGAGCGTTGGTGCCATATTTAAGTCACTTAACAATTGCACTGAGAAAAATGGAAAAAATCAGATACATAGAAGAAGAAAATTGTTTTGGAAAAGATTACATTGACTTTGAAATCTTGAAAAGATGTTCCCAGATGAAATGTACTGTTAGGAGCTTATGAACTGTCCTGCAACAGAGTTGTCTGCTTTTCCTTGCATAGCTAAAAATGTGTAGCACAGTATTGTAAGATTGGTTTACAAAATAAGGTTACATATGTTTCTAGACATACCACAGCAGCTCTATCAAGCAACACGGGTCTAAATAAGTTGCTGAAGTATTAGGGCAGTTTATTATTCATATACTACTTCTGTTCTGTGTGTTCTGAGTTCAAAAGAATATTAGGAGTTAATTTCTCTAGTTTTAAATGTAACAGTTGCACCATTCTGCATGGAAAACCATACCCCACGTGGCTGCTGTAGTGATAGCTGGAACCACTCTTGGAGGGCTGCTTTATCATTTTTAATTGTACTTGGGTATAGGACTGTAGTGTTCTTGGGTGTATTGCATGGGCTGCATTATCTATGGCATTGTACAATAACAACTCTAGAAAAGGCAGTATTCTTCACTGATGCTTGTCTGGTAATATATATCACTTCTGTGTTATAATGGAAGGGGGTTTTGTGATGTATGAAACTTGTGTTTTTTATATAAACAAATAACAGTTTAGACTAGTGTTGTGGTAATGCCTGTTCCCATCTGTAAATAGTTACGTACGTACACAGGGCGCTACTCCTGACCTTATGATTTTTGTTGCCAGTGTTCAGTCTTAGTTTTTACTTCACTATTAAAAGTGTCAGGTTTTTGCTTCTAACTTTGTTCTTCTGAGTTATTAGATATGCAAACATGTACAGATAGTTCTTATTTATGTATTGCACATAAGCTACCCAGCATCTATGCTATATTGTATTATGTAAATAATAAAAATAATGTACAGAAGGAAATACTTCCTTTTGTGATAGTTCATTGGTTTTAATTATTGCTGTAATGAGGATATGACCTTGTAGAGGTTGAAGTGCAGAGTTGATACTAAGTTCATACAGATGCTGTCTTTATGCTTTAGCCTACGTCTTTATTTCTTATTCGGATGTACTAACTTCTTTTGAGACAACTTCCATGAGCAACTGGAGTACAGGTAACTACTTGATGGCCTGACAAAAATGCCAGCAAACAACAGTGTGCTTAAAAGGAGCAAAGACAGTATTAGTAACGACCTTCAAACTTACTTCCAGTGGATCTTTTATGATAGAACCAGTACACTGACTACACCGTTCTGTCCACATCTCACCAGCAGACCTGGGCAGAGTTACTGTCGGTGTCAGCAGCCAAATACAAACGATAAATATGCCCAATTTATCCTTCCCAGTGGGAAGGAAAAGGACACAGTACACACCATGTGTTGCCATGGAGGAAGACATCTTCACTGCTGGATAATGCACAAAAATTGCTTGTATCAGAAATGGATAATGTGTATGCCACCAGTCAGCTGATAGTCAACATGAGTTAATACTCCAGCCACTGTGTATGCGTCTAAAAGGGAACACAGGCATGCTCTGGGACTTCATTTTCCTGGATGAATTTTAGGATTTCATCATGGAACTGCTTTAAAGCACTAAAATTATTTTTCTACCTTTTGTATTAAAGCAATATCAGCAACTCCACTACAGCATAGAATGTTTTTCTCTTTTTTGTCCTTTTTTATTCTTCCCTTCTGAACCTGAGAATGCCCTGTAACTGGATATTTGTGGAGACCTGTCTGGTTTTGATACTGTCTTGAGAGTGGTTTAGGACAGGTAATAGTACTGATACTGTTAGGTAATGATTATGATGGTCTCAATCTCATGGTCTTCTTTTTTTTCTGTACTTGTGAAAAATCTGTACAAATCTGTACTTGTGAAAACTTGTTTAAATATTTTATCTTGGTACATCTGTACAGGAAAGTATGGAATGAAAAATCCCTCTTTTTCTTCTAAAATTGTGAACTGTATAATTTAATTTACGTTTAAGAGGGCTGTGAGCCTGTCCTCAAAAACTCAAAGCTCCCTGGAGCTTTCTTTTGACAGCCTATACAGAGTGTGTAATCACTCAGGATTTCTAATTCTATTGATGCTCACAGAACAAAGGAGGGGAAGATGGTTTAAAAAGAGCAGGTATTGGCAAAGTGTGTGGATTGGGGTGGGGCTAATGTTTAAACTTATGTGTTACATCTTCCAAGAAAAACATAATCATGTATGGTTGATCCTCATTTGACATTGGCTGTTAGACTGAGATCTTCTTAACTCATACATAAACACACTGTTCTGGCAACAATCTTCCTCTGTTCTAAACAACTTAACCAGATGATCGGGACTTGTTTACGTAAAAACAGATGAGTAAGTGAAAACGTGATGAAAAATTTATAATGTTCAACCTGAAATACTTGCCTAATTTTAAGTGTTAGGGCTGTGCTATACTATGTTCCACAGGATTCTGAACAAGCTTGCTGACAGCTGTTACTATTAACCTGAAATTTGGAATATAAAGATGACCTTTTTGTGGTGGTTCCAGTCTGTTGGTGGAAAGCTCATGAGCTCCTAGATGACTTGGTTGGTTGTGATGCTTAAGGATGCCATGGGGTCGAGAAGCCCTGACTATCTTCATAATACTTAAGCCTTTGAAACCATGCTTCTGATAATTGTTTTCTCTGTTTTGGAAGGTGATTGTTCATGGATGTAAAGGAGTGTCTTAGGTGCTTGTATGTTGTGTCTCAGTCACTGAAAGAGTACTTCAAGGATTTGATTCATGTCTGGTGTCTGTAATGAGTCAAAATACAAAATGTATTTCAGTTCCTGGGTGTTCCTAAGCTGCTCTACAGTATTATCTGATGTGTGTGCTTGAAGGAGGAAGTATACAGCAAAAAGAAATTGTTTTGTTTCAGGTACCTGGATGTGTTAAGCAGCTAAAAAAAAAAAAAATTTAATAGATGTGTCATTTTTATGTTTGTTTCGTTAGTTTCTCAGCCAGCCACACTGACATTTTCTCACAAATAACCTCTTACTGACTCCCTCGATAATTTTTATGTTTTTAAACACACAGGATATTTGCTGGATTGCGCTCTGATTGGGGAGACACAAAGGGCTCTGGTGGTACACCTGAAAATACTGGATAACATTGAAATTAATAAATGACAAACCTTAACAGTTAAAAAACTTGAGCTGGAAAAATAATGAGAGTGGCTATATGCAGAAATGTTTAAGCATAGTCCAGGAGAAAAAACTGTACTAAGAGATTTCACCACAGAGTTTTAAATGCAATTTTACAGACCTGAGTTATCCTTTAATCTACTGTAAACACTTAGCAGAAAGTGCTTCAACCTTTAAATTGCCTGTTTTAGAAGTAATTTAGTGATGGCCAAAGACACAGTGTTGGAGTTTGAGGGGTTTTTTCCACTGAAGGAAATACGGAGACCATTTCTGCTTGAAAGGGCTCATCAGCCTAATAACACAGAACCAAGGACCAGGTTTTCTGATGGTATGAAGAACTGGATTCTGTAGGATGCAAATTAGCAGAATAGCAGGAGCCCTTGATTTAAATTAAAATAAAGGTAAAGATGGCAACACTGAAATGCAGGAATCAACACCCAAACGGTAACCAAAACCACTGGCTTGACTGTTTCTTTGCGTAGGTAAAATCTTTTCATTTAAAAACTGATAATTGAAATTAGTGTCATAGCTTCCTGAAGAATCTGTCCCACCTTTTCTACTAGATGATAAGATATAGATGACAAATTTTTTTTCAATGCGAATTCATTTCAGTGTGTGTTTCTCATGTCAGCTTGTAGCAATGTTGGAGGTTGGGTTTCTCAGGTGAGTGTTACTTTGGCTCAAACCTCCTATGTAAGATATCTATATCTTTGTTGACCTCCCTTGTAGTACTAGTTCTTTTCTGCCTGTATCTACAACCGGTTCACAACATTAATTCCCAAGCAGCAATAAGCCTGCTTATCACAATCTAAGGTTTATTCATTATGGAGAGAAAAAATAATGGGATAAATATATCTACTCTTGTACCTGAGTACAAGCATGTAGGGTTGGATTTTGATGATCCTTGTGGGTCCCTTCCAACTCAAAATATTCTGTGATTCTCTGATTCTACATTGTGTAATGAGTCCTGGCTCAAGGCAGGTTAAGTGTGACTGTGGGCTCTGGAGAGGGTTGTAGAGTGAAGTGCCTCCCTCTCTGTAGGCATTTTACAGGTTACCCATAGCCTAAACCCTCCTCCTCCTTTCAAGCTGGGATGCCTCTAGTGTTAAATACCGTTGCTGTGTGATGCTATTTTTGACCCATACACAAGTGACAACATCTCTGTTAGGTTGCTATGACTGTAGAGCGAGTTTGTTCTTTGCTTTGCATAATGGTAATGCTTTTTTTTTTTTTTTTAATGTGGCTGCATCTGAATTGGTTTTAGTATCTACCATACCCATAGCCAGCCATCCTCACCATGGTTTGAGTAGGGAAAAATCAGCAGTTTTAAACTGCTTTCTTGGGGGGTTTTACCAGGATTTTGGGATCATTTTGATAGGGCTGTGAGCACAGTTGATCGTAAGGTATTTTAGCATCATCCTGGTCCGTGTGTTTCTAGGTTCTTCCTAAAGCATCTTCTGATGGTACACTAATGAAATCAATATAAATGGAGGCAATATGACATAAAAAGGATAAACTAAAGCCATGACTCAGCTTCATGTTTCCACTGCTATCACATCTCAGAGCACAATGCTAGTAACACCAAGGTCATAGGTTTGATCCCTGTGTAGGCCATTCTCTTAAGAGTAGAACTTGATAATACTTGTGAGTCTCTTCCAACTCAGAATATGCTGTGATCCTGTAAGATGCCTTATCAGTCCCTTCATCCAGTGTCTGAAAGGTGCCATTAGATGTTAACTGGGCCTATTTAGAGATGTATATTTGGACTTCCCTTTATTAGTTGGTTTTATTTTCAGAATTCACTGATAGTGGTCTTGACATGTAGTTAATATATTTTGTTGTCTGACAAGCATTTTGGTGGTGATGTTTTTTCAGCTTGTTGGTGTACTCTTGTGAAAGAGGTGTTAGAGGCACAACGTGTTTGCCAAGGTACTGGATAGCAAACATGTCAGTGAAGAAATGATCCTTCGCCTTTGGAAACCTGCAGTGCTCACCTGTAGTATTTTTGCCTGATTAGTGATTTTCCAATATAGGAAGGCAGAATAAAGTCCCACTGTTTATCTTCACTTAGTAGTATCATTGAGATTGTAGCACAGATCTGAGGAATATAAAAGCAATTTAATTCACTGTTCCTCATGCCTGTTTATGTTTTCTTTACCATATTGTACATTTATGTTGTTTGAAACCCACCCAACCTGTGTCACTTCCTGATGAGAATTTTCCTTGAGCAGCCAGCATTTTAAGATTTGACTTTGGTAGATGTGTGAGGTGTTGGAGACATGGTGACTATAGCCTGAGTTCCCAGGGAACCTATGAAACAGTTTGTGCACAGGACTATTTGACTTGGATAATGCTTCTAGGAGACCAGGTCAGACTAGGTTTAAACTGGATTAAGCTAAAGTAGATTTTCCTTAGTTGTATTTTAAGTAGTGTGGGATTTATGAGGGGAAAGTAGATTTATGACCCTGGATAAATCTTGATTCCTTTCAGTCTTGTTTTATCTTCAGAGTGATACTGAACTAGTTCCTTTGATTGCTATATTGGACTTACCTGATGGATAGTACCTATATGGATTTGTGTATTTCTACTGGAAGCTCAACTTTTGACTGTCCTTGTGTGACCAAAGTCTTGGATGTTTTATTGCCAGTTTACGCACCACAGGAGCTTGTGGAAAGCCACCAGATTTAGTGCAAGGATGATGCACAGACAGGCAGCAGAGGTGAGACCACCACACATGTATTTGCACACGCTGCTGGGGAACTGCAGTTTCGGTGTCAGTGCTAAAACAATTTGGCTGCTAACTTCAAGCAAGTAGCAGTGATGAAAAGGTTAGCGTTTGCCATTGTGGCTACAGAGTTTGCTAGCTGAATCTGAGCCAGTCACCTGCAGGTTGCAGAAATAGGTTTACACTTGATATAATGTGATGGCACTAGTAATTACATGTGAGTAAATGAAAGATCAACAGCGGTAATAGTTCATTGGCTCCTCAGCAAGATTTTCTAAGCTAGAGTTTGGAAAACATATTATGTTAGGAAATGGCCTTGAGGTTCAAGTTTATTTACTCATCATTTCACGTAAGCAGAGGTGGTTGTGTTTGTCATCTGCTGAGGCTGAATCACAGTTCAGCACAGAGTCATTTCTCAGTGTTGACCAGCCTTCAGTAAATAGAGACATTTAACACTCAGTCTGCAAACAGCTGCTGGAGAACAAAGGTTGTATCAATGAATAATAGCATTAGGACTTTTACAGCCTCTTCCTCTTTGTTTCCCAGAGTCCTTCATGGTGGTGGGTAAGAGTTGCTGTCGCAATGCACAGAGGTGAGGATGAAGCGCAGAAGGAGTCAGTAAGGACACACATGGTGCTGCAGTTCTGGCTCTAGCTGTTTCCTATTAGCAAACTACTGCTACTAGCTGCTTGACTGTCCTAGAGCCCTAGTTTTGGCCCCCTGCTCCATGCTAACATATGGAATTTCTTCCTGATTTGTTTTTGGTCCAGTCATCTGCGTCAAAAAGCCACATTTTAGAGAGCAATGCCACAGTTCTCAAAGAGGGCAGATGAGTTATATTACCAGGAGCAGAGGTACAGCATCTGGGGATGCTTCAAGTACAGACAGCTTTCAGCAAGAGGAGCACAACATCTGAGTTCTAAACTGTCTCCTGACTGTAAAGCAGTGCCAGGTTCTGGACCCAGCTCTCCCTGCTTCTACAAGAGTTTCTCTGCTATATGCCTGCTTCCCCCAGGCTCTGGAGTGGCAGCAGTTTCTCCCTTTCATAAAGGAGGGCCCGGGGAGGGTCAGCAGCCACTTGGCTGGGGGCCTGAAGAGGCACTACCCAAGACACAGCTCTACCATATCATGCTGGTGGACAAAACCAGATAAAGCCTAGAGTAACCATTTCAATTTCTACCTTACAGCAAACACTGCCCAAAAATATCTGTGAACTCTGGTGTGCTACTCTGTAGGCTAAAATCCACCCACCACCACACTTGGTCCTCATGAGGCTATTAAAATTCTTTGATTGCTGACACTTCAGCACAGGAAACAACTGTGTCACACCCATGCCAAACAAGAACAGCAGCAGCAGGGAACAATACCTTTAGACTACTGCTGCCAGATCTCAGGAACACCCTCTGTAACTTAACTCCTGCAGAAGATTTGGTTGGGCTTTGCTTTTCTCTTTCATTTCATTCCCCTCTCGTGGTAGCATTTTAACAGTCTAAAACAAACCGATTTTTTAAAGCAGTTCAAATAATTTGAAAAGCTGCTCTGTGTGGGGGGGGCGGATGTTTCAACTAACTATGGTAAAAGGTTATGCCAAGACCATATCTTTGCAGACCTTATTAGTACTAAAGAAAGTAAGTTAATACATGCACAGCCTGCGGTGTATGTAGTGTGCTATTTTGGGCTACAGATCAAGAGCTAGTTTTAAAAAAAACTGGCACAAGAATCCAACTGTGGACTGCAAGTCCTGAGCAAGTCCACTTTTCTTTCAGCTAAATATACCTTCTTATACCTTCTTTAGAGAATGTTTTACTAGCATCAGTTAAGTTGCTGAGTTGTGTTTATTTTTTTAACTAAGCACAATTTAGTTAGATGGAGTAAAGACACAGAGATCTTATGAAATCTCTGTTTTTTCCCAATCCTGATCACCGTGTTTTTAAAAAAGTCTGTAGTTCAAACATGCCTGTTTGCTGTTCTAGATGAGAGCTGGATCTGAAGATCCCTGCCCCTCAGTTGTCTGTGTGCTGCTTGTAAGAAGCAAAGCCTTGCGTTCAGATATCAGATACATGCTTTTGCGTTTCAAAACCTCTTGCGTGTGCAGGGTCACAGTCATGGGAACACTTTCCAGCTTTTTCTGCTTCAAGGAAAGAGCCATTCTCAGCCCACAAAGGTAGTAACAACCAGTTTAAGAAACCGATTCAGCTTATATAACCTGTGGCTAACCCCAGTCTTCTCTGTGCCTCAGCTGCCTGCTGACATGTCTGAAAGGGATTCACAAAAATCAGCTGTGGAGGAAAGACGGCCCCAACAGCCCAAGAGGGTGTCCTGCTGCAGGTTGAGCCCTGATGCTGCCACGCCATGCAAGCCAGAGTCCCACCTTTCATCCCTCTCAACAGTCTAGTTTGGGCCACCTGTGCCCCTCCAGCAACCTTGGCTGGCTGGCAGGGCTGTGGGGTTTGTAGCCATTACCTGCTGCAGTGCCAACCCCAGCCTATGCTGGCCCAGCAACACATCCTGCAGACATGGCAAACCTCTCCCTTCAGTGACTCAGCATCTACATAACAGCCCTTTTTTCCCCTCCTTCCTGGGTATTTACAAGGAATTTCAATATAAATAAACTACATTTAGAAGAATATTGCAATAAAATAAGCTAACTGGTGTCATAAGGCTCCCCTTTCCCAAGGCTAGAAATTAAGGAGAAAACTACCCCATTTGTTAAAGAAGTTGTCAGAACATTGGCTAGTCCCAGAACAAGGCTTCAGTAACAAGTAAATATTTTGGGCAGGCATGTTTGTTTTATTTGTGATGATAGTGCCAAGCTCCAGCACCACAAAATCGGATCACTTTGGCCATATCCTGCTAAACACCAGAGCTCAGAGGGACTTCCAGTAGTCCAAAAGGCTATCTGAAGGGCAAGGCATGGTGCCCCAGTGGCTGTCTATGCCATACCACCACTGTGATGCTTAATGTGGAGCTTCAGCAGTGTGTCGATGTGGTCAGCTGCCATGCCCTGCCAAGTGCACTCTGAAGTGTGTGAGTAATGCCTGTCATATCACCTGTTCTGGTCCCCAGGATGCTGGGACAAGTGATTATCAGATGGGGAAAATGTTTGCAGTCACCAGGCAGAGCTGAGCCTTCAAGAGGACAGGACAGCATCCTCTCTACCAGCGCTGCTTCAGCATGAGCAGCCTTATACCTCTACACCTTCTGCAAGTGCCAGGAAAGATTGAACGTCACCAAGAGATGCTGACATCACTTTTACTTGTGCTCAAAGGCAAGGCAAAAATGTGCCATCAAAGCCTTGCAAGCTGCCATGAAGATAGAATGTCTGCAATATGCGATCATTCTTTATAGGGTCTCCATGCAAATTTTTTCCAAATCTGATCTGGGAGATTTTTACAGTCCTGGCTGCCCATTGAAACTGAAAGGAAAATGCCACCAAAAAAAGTACACCACAGTTGTACAGGAAGGAAGAAAAGGTGGACACTTGATGAGATAAATCAGTCTTGGATCAAGGGAAGGATGTTAGCTGTACAGTATGTCTTCTAAAGTCTAGAAAACCCTGAATCTGACACCATCCTTCCAGCAATGCCCAGCTCAGCATGTCTATCAGCCTTGGTATGGAGAAACAGGATATATTCATGGCGGCAGGCAAGTGCCAAGCTGTTTGGCCCTTGAAAAATTTTCTGCTGCTTCAGGTCTATGAAGCAATGTGTTTAGTTTGAGGAATAGGCAGGACTGGCTGTTCTTCCTGTGAAACCAGCCCAGTCTACTTCACATGTAATTTGCTGTTCAACTCTAATCTTTCTCTGTTGAACCAAATTACAAAAGAAGCACATGAAAACACACTTTTGATAAGTCTAAACCAAAAATATAAGAAGCACAAAACATCCTTACTCTTCCTTGAAACCAATTTTTAAGGACAGTGATGCTAATGGAAAAGGTGGCACTATACTATTCACTACAGCTTGCCATCTGGGAAGCAGGAATGCGTTTAGGCAGGCAGTAAAATAAACAGAAGAAATTACTGTGCCAGCCAATACAAAATTAACACTCACTGGATGTTACAGAGAGAAAAAATGTTAATGTAGCAGAAAGGAATTGGACAAACTAAGGAGCTAAACCAAACTTCTCTGCTGCTGTGTTGCCCTTAAACTTATTTGACTTGTTGGCTGAAAGCAGGAGAGTCTGTGCTGTCCTGCTGTCCTCCTGCACATCCTTATTCATCAGCCTTACTAGAAACAGGACAGTTTTGTTCCATAGACCTTTGGTCTGACCCAGGTCTGACCCTTTCACATCCTTGCGTAATGAAGACTGCAGTTTTCCTTGCAGGAGAACACAGAGTAAGCAGTGGGTGGTGCACCATAGAGGACATACAT